TCTTTGATGAGTAGAAAGTTGGAAAGAACTGGTTTGAAATAAAAAAAAAACTTCAAATACATTTTTATTTTTTATTAAAAAATGATATATATTATTCAGTTATATAAATTGTATTATATAAAAATGTATTTTACATTTTTAATTAAAAAGTTTTACTGTCACTTTTGATCATTTGATTAATAATATCCCAGTTTTGATCCTTGCTAAATAAAATAATTTTTTTTAGCGAAGAAAATTGTACTGGAAAAGAAATTATACTGACCACAAACTTTTAAACAGTAGTATACAATGGAAGGACTCGAGTCAAATCTTAGGATCAGAATATTGTAAAAACTTTTTTTTTTTTTTTTTTACTTTTACCCCAAAACATCCCCAGACGACGTACAAATTCAGTGGAGAATGTTTTACTACTTTTGATTGGCCATTGGGCTACTTTTGTTGCACAGACCTGGCGACCCTGCACCTAGAACACCCTAGCAACCACACAGCAACACACTAAAAAGCACACAATACACCTTAACATCTACCTAACAACACCCCGGCAACCACCCTAGAATTGCTCTTGCATTTTCTTCAGAAAATGTATAAATATATATTTTTCCTCTTTAATAAGCCCTCTATTCCATTGTTTTATGTTGGAGTAACTGTTTCATATCAATGCGCACATTGTCTTTAGAGTCTTGTTTTGAGAACAGAGATTCAAAGATCAGTAAAAACCCTTAATTTAATAGTGAGTGATTTTTCCAGTCTAGTTTGGATCACATGAGTTTCAGTTAACTCTGTGTCCATCTATTAATTATAATGTTTTTTTTCTGGCAAACACAGCACAAAAGGGAGAATAAAATTGTGGAGAAACTGAACTGAATAAGTGAGTGTCTTTAGTGTCTGTGTGGGTCACAATCAGAAGGGGGGTCTGGATTTGGTTTTGAAAGAGAATGGTCCCCTCCTTCCCCCTCCCCACAACGTGAGAAAAATAAAACAAAGAGAGTAATGTGGAGTGCGACGGGCTGTCTCTTTCAGGGTCTCTGTGGTCTGTAGCCTGGATCAGGACAATGAGAGCCAGCACAACATACACACTAAACAAAAAAAACAACAACAAGCGCTCTGTTTCTTTCGAGAAGAAGCATTGTTGCTTTGTTAAGACGACAAAGCGGATCACCCTTGGTCCTTTGTCTTTATCCATCACACATAAGTAAAATAATTTGCAGAGCTCAAAAATGTTTGGAGATTTCCAGGCATGATATACTCTGGCTGTTTTTTTGTTTTTTATTAAACTACTGCACTAAATCCACACATTGAATTTTGACTTGGGGATCCCCAGGCCTTATTCTGTCGGAAAATAAACATGAATTCTCTAAAGGTCACCCAGGCGGGATCCATTTGCTCTGTGTGTTGGTCTGTGTGAAATGTCAGTTACTTTTCACTGCAAACGAATTGAACCAATGAGGTGGATGGGATTTATTCCCCGATATAAGTCTAGTATTGACTATGACAGCATAGTCTTCACACTCTGTCTAATGTGAAGGTCATTTGTGTCAATGGGTGCAGGACTGTTCTTTCATTTTTGTGACTTTGCTTAGAAGGGAATTGATGTAGGAGAATTCAACTTGGCATGCATTAAGACAGCAGACAGAGAAAGAGTGAGGTTGTTGGCTCTGCAATCTTTTGCTGTCCCCTCACAGACAGGTTTGCCAGGACTACACTTGGATAACCCATCATGGTTTAAGATTAGATCCATGTCCTTCGCCCCAGGGCCTGAAAGACATTGTGGTGTCAAGCCTTCACCCCTCTACTAGTCTAATTCATGTGGAAAACTAATACTTAAAGAAATCTCTATATTCATACTTTTCACATTTTCCTACCATACACTCTTACAATGAAAGTGAAGATGAAGATGACGAAGATCCTGTTTGAACTAAAGGAGGTTTTACAATCTGGTGCCACAAAAAACTTTTTATCTTCTAGTTATTTAGACCATCAATGTTTGGGTTTATAGAAGCCAATACGCTGATCAGAAAACTTATAGTGTAACATTAAAGGCTTAGTTCACCCAAAAATTCTAATTCGGTCATCAATTAATCATCCATCCATTCATTCCAAACCCATAAGACTGTTCATCTTCAAAACACAAATGAAGATATTAAAAAAAAAGAAAATTAATAGAAATAGAAATTTCTGATCCATTACAACACAACTTTGACTCTACAAAAAAGTTCATAAAGATATTATTATCGTGAATATGAAAAATGGAAGCTCAAACCAGCTTCTTGTTTGAACCAATGTGGTGTGTTTTTGAGTTTCCATTTACCATATGCAATGTGCTCTATGTATGTGCATTAATCATAAATCGGGATAGGTATCGAGAACCGGTTCCAAATTTGCAAGAATCGGTGATTCGACAAGAAACGTGCATTTCAATTCCGCTTATCGTTTTCTTTGTGCGCATTTTATTGTGATTTTAAACCGTTCAAGCGCAAGAAGACTTGTGTAACAGTATATTGGATCCGTGCAGCTCTTAAAGCAGGGGTCTCAAACTCAACTTAACTGGGGGCCGCTGGAGGTAGAGTCTGGGTCAGGCTGGGCCGCATCAAGTATTCCACAAAAAATAGTATTCAAGTATTCCGAAAAAGGAGCACAACTGATCCAATCTTCATGATCCTTATACACAAAATCTTTGTGTTACTTCATTTTACAAACATTCTTTTTCTTTTCCTTATAACACATATTTGTGATACGTATATTTGCTTATGTCCTTTTTATTTTCTTTATACAACACATTAATGATATTGAATGTTTTTTTTTTTGGAAGGCACATTTCCTTTTATTATACTTAGAAAAACGATTATTGCTTTTGAAATACAAATATTTGCAGTCATGTCTGCCCGTCTTAGGGCCTGTTCACATATCGCGTCTTTTGCGCGCTCAAGTTCGTTATTTCAAATGTAGGTGCGCGGAATGCGCGCTCATAATGGAAGCGACGCGTTCGTGGTGCGACGCGCTCGTTTTTTCCAAGCGCGTGCGCGCCGCATCGAGATAAAATCATCTCAACTTTTCAGAATGCCGCAAGCGCACCGTAGCTTAGCAACGACAGACGCCTACGGAGCGCAACCGCCCTAGCGCTTTGGAAAAAGGAGAACGCGGCGCGCCTAGCGTTTTCTACGCGTTTTGGGGCGCTAAATGTGAATTCATTCTTATTTAATTATTTCTACACATGTATAGTGTCTCAGGCAAATTACTGACTTTGCACAAATCAAAGCAAACCTTCTTATCAACCTGCTGGACACATATTACAAGCTCAAAATGATTATTCTCACATTGTTTTAGAGCAGGGGTCTCCAACAAGTCGCTCGCGAGCTACCAGTAGCTCGTGGCATGTTCACATATCGCGCTCACATATTTTGCTTGCTCAAGTTCGTTATTTCAAATGTAGGCGCGCGGCAAGCGCGCTCATAAGCGACGCGCTCATTTTTTTCCAGGCGCAGTAAAAGTTTGTACTTCACGGTTGTCTATGACAACTATTGACAAACCCACCGTAAGCTGTCATGAGACTATCTATGGTAGCCCAAAAGGGATAAAAAAAATATTTTTTTTTTTAAAACGCGGCACACGCAACGACGGGCCGCACTAACATTAAACTTTAATGTCAAGTAGGGGGCCACGCGGGCCGCGAGTTTGAGACCACTGTCTTAAAGTGACAGCAGCCTGATAGTCAAGCTGCCGTCTCTATAATAACGTTAATCAAACAACAAAGATAAAGAGAAAATTCATTCACTGTTCTTGTATATATTTGTTATGTAGCCTATATTGTATTCATAAAATACACTGTTATTTTACATTTGATTACAAATTCTGTTCCTGAATACCTGAAAATCTTAAAACACTGTTTATTTCAGTCGTATCTTTGTTCAGTTGTGTTTATTTGTGCAATTGCTAATTTGTTCTTTTTTAATTACTGAGTGTTTACTTGTCTTTAATAATGCTTGAAATTTATATTAGTTAGGCTAGTTGTTTTTATATGGTATTTTTAAACCATAGGCAAAAGTTACTTGTGTAAGTGTTCTTTAGCCTGTTGATTTTTGTTCATGGTATTCAGCCACAATGAAATGTTTTGCAATAAGAAATCTAAGTTGTTGTTTTTTTACCTTATTGGAATCGATAAGCGGAATCGGAATTGTTCAAATTCAAAGGATACCCAACCCTATTATATAGCTTCATAGTTCTGTCGTGACAACTCTCGGAGTGTTTTGCATGGTAATGGCTATGACAATGTTGATATGCTTGATCTTGGCAGCACTGCTGTTATTGCTGCTTCAGAGCAAGTACGTGACTTACTACTGCCAATACATATACATGATACGCTGCTGTGAACAAGAAAGTTATGCTGCTGCTGTACAATATAGCATACATGAATTACCCGTTGCAGATCTATGCAGGTGGAGTTGGGGAACGTGGAGGGTTTCTGAAAGCGCTTGCGAAGTATTGTGTTTATTAAGATTAAACCACTCAATTCATATGGATTTCTTTACAATGTCTTTGAGCTGATAAAGAAGCGCTGTATAGCATAATTCAAACTGAAGGTGTTATAATTTTAATGCATGCCAGACATTGGCTCATAAGCCTGTGCCTTTGAAACGGATTAACGGTGCATTATTGATAGGGCATCAGATCAAACAGAAGCTCAGATCCTGACAGACTTGGCTGTTCATATATGCAAGGGGTCTCCATGGCAACTGACTTTAAAAAGGCACTTTCTTCCTTTGCTTCAGGACTGTTTATTTTTTATCTAGCTTTGCCTTTCTGAGACACCAGATGCAGCACCTGATAAACAAAAATTACAATAACTCACTCTTGGAACAACTCAATGGTGATTCTGCAATTAGTGGAATTGTATTTAGAAATACAACAGTGTAATAAAAAGGAATGTGTTAGACAAAATCCGACTTTGACTGTAAAGTTATTAGCCCCACGTCAGAAACTGCATTTTTTGTTCATTTCCACAGCCTCAGTTCACAGAGCCCCACCCACAGTCCCAAAGGATCCATCAGCCTATCAGACGTGAAGGCAGGACTGTTAGACACCTTGTCCAGGGAGAAAACTATTAAATCAGGTATTGATATATTTCAATCAATCATCTGGACATTGATGGTCTCGTCCACGTACAACAGTCTTGATCCATCCCTGTTTACCATTAGATGACACGGTGAAATTGGCCCTGTGTGACCAGGCCATTGTCTCGGGGCATGATGGTCTAGCTGGTGACTGCACCTGGGAGGACAAACTGTGTGAGCAACAGGAACAGCTGGAGAAGGAGATGAAGGAGGCACGGACAATGGTGTCCAGCCTACAGGTGACAATAACATATATTATCACCTAATTTAGTTTGTATTGCTTTTAGAGAGCTTGTGGCTTATAACAGGTGGTTTTGTAGGCTCTCCTTCTGCACGGTTCATTACCTGAGGATGAGCAGGAGGTGACGCTTAGCCTGGGTGAGGGAGTTGAAAATGCAGAGCAGCAACTGGTGCGTATCTTTATTTCTGTCACAATTGTGTTTTACCCCAAACTGGCCTCTTTTTCTTCCATATCATGCATATCCCTCCCTCTTGATAATATGTGACTTCCTATGCCCCTCCCTCCCCCCATCTCTCTCATTCTCTCCTGCTCTTTCACTAAGCTCTGTCAGGGCAGATCATATTACTCTCACGGTGAACTTTGCTTTGTTTGTGGGAGAGAGCAGGTATCCGTTTCTCTCCTTCGATGTCTGTTTCTCTCTTCCAGTTCTTCTCTGTTTTCTATAAGGTTGTCGTGTGAACCAGTTCCTTCTGTGTTTAGTGTAATATGTAGTAATATATGTGGTTTTGTTCTGAAGCAGCAAAAACCCTCTGTTGTTGTGCTACAGGTTGTAATACGAAGTCGTCTGGACCAGAGCATGGAGGAGAGTCAAGATCTAAAGGTGGGCATTATTCATATTATTATATAATTATATATATAAATACACGTTTAATCTCTCTCTCTTTCTCTAATAACTGCATTAGTCTGCTATCAATGGCTCAAGTCTCCGTTACTAGCTCTAAAATTACATTTTGTAATTAGCAACGGAGGTTTGTGATAAGAGGCATAAGAAATTTGTCCTACATACAAGAGCATTTAAAGGACAAAAACCTGACAAACGTCTTGAAATACAACATCTGTATTTATATATAAATATAGACTCCAAGACTTTTGTCAGGTTTTTGTCCTTACATTACAAAACGTCATTTTAGAGCTAGTAGATAGTAACGGAGACTTGAGCCATTGATAGCAGACTAATGCAATTATTAATATATATATTTATTGTGTGTGAGTAAATATAATAGTAATAATACATTTTATTAATATTATGAAATAATTATTTCTTTTTAATTAATTAATTTATTTTATATTTTTTCCCCCTGAATCGGAAACACACACTGTAATATATTACTTTTCCATCTCTGGAATGTTTTAGCATATTTTTGAATATGATTTAAATTTGTTTGATTACTTCATGATGCAGTACAGATCATTTCATAATCAATGTGGTATTTTTCGGTTTGGTCTTCGGTTAGTTATTGATGGGCTGATCTTGTCCATTCCTGATATTTTTAAAACTAGTCTATGATGTGAGTTGTTGTTTTGTTTTTTTTACATGTAGAGGGAGCTATTGAGGTTCAAACAGGAGGCTCGCAACCTGCAAGGAGTGAAAGTGAGTCTTACTCACCTCCAAACCTATAAATATAAATAATACCCTCAAGGTGATGATACCGGGGGCAACTTTTTGAGCAATGTTGCTGACAACCAGTTGAGACACAGGGCTCACGACTGATCTAAAGTATCCAGATTGAAATTTGTTGCCAATTCTCAATGGGAAAGTGAACAAGCAACATCGCTCTGCAACATTGGCCAAAAAGTTGCCCCCGGTATCATCACCGTCACACTTAAAAGCATAAAGCAGAGCAAGTTAGATATGTTGAGATTGATTAACCCTGTCCCGTGTCATCAGGATGCTCTTCAGCAGCGTATGGCTGTGCAGGAGTCCTCAGTCCTGCAGCTCAAACAGGAACTCCTGCGCACCAGTATGGCCAAAGATGAGCTGGCAGGACAAAATGTGAGTGCATCTGTCTTTATGCTATGGATATTAAATTCTTTTCAGTTATACCATATCTGAGACCGGTTGTCAAGTATTATCTGTGTCTATCTTCTCAGGCTGAGCTACAGAGGAAGCTAGAGGAGAGGAGCAGACTTCTCAGTGAATATAAGGCATTTATTTTTTTGTGATATGAAAAATATAATCATGTTTAATAAAAAAATGCACCATAATATATGGTATTTATTCAAATTCTACTAGTTTGTTTTTTATATAAATTATAGTGTTTACTATTTTTATTTGTGATATATCATGTACATTCATCTGTTTAATGTTGTCATCTTAATTTAGATCTTCTGTTTTTATCTGGTAATTATACATTTAGAAAGATATTATCAAAAAACTGTAACTTTTGCTTTTTTTTCACCCCTCAAATATCTTCAGTCTTGTTACTACTTTTGATTAGTAACTTTTAGTGTAAGCTAACTACTTTTTCAAAAGAGTAGACTGACTGTACATTGAGTAGCTTGCAGTTTTCTTCATATCGAAAGATGCTATTTCTATAAAAGATATAAAAGATGCTGATCATAGAGCTTTCCTAATTAAACCACATATGTAATGTAATTAAACACATTGTCTTTGTGCTGCACAGAAAGAACTGGGCCAAAAAGATCGACTTCTGCAGCAGCAACAGCAGAAGCTGGATGAGGCACTGCGCAAGCTGACAGACAGCAGCAGCCAGCAGGTACGACATCAAACACAGAGTCTGCAGACTGTGAAGGAGAACTGCATGATGGGATAGTGTTATAATTTAACATCATAAACCTTTGTCTCTCACAGCGTTGTCATAATCAGGGCTCGACAAAAAGGACAGTGCATTACCAGTGTGAGAAAGGTTTGGGCTAGTTGATGGAACCGACACACATGGCCAAGTCAATTCAGTTTGCACATGCATAGAGCTTCTGTTAAGCAAACAAACACAAAAAGAGTGAGGGGGTGTAATGGAGAACCTGTTCTTACTTCTAAAAACAGCTTGAGACATGTTTTTGAAACTTGAACTATTTTTAATTTAACATGTGACTTTAAAGGTGTGAAACACGATGCAACAGCCCAAAGTTGTTGTTCCTGTGTGAATAAAGTCCTCTTTATAGATGGTATGAGGACCAGGTAATTTGTTTATGACTTTATGCATTTATGTTAAGTAAAATGTACAGCTTTTATTGCAAATTAATGATTAATAAAAAAAAAAACGATATACAAGTTTTGCTTCAAACTAACTGTTTTTTTTCTACATTTGTCTCAATCATAAAGTAATATTAATGTCAAATATATTATAATTCAAAATATATAATGTACAAAACAAAATATATAATGAACATAAGTCTAGTATGATTTTATTTGTAAATGTTGGTTAAATGTACAGTAAATGATTTTAAAACTTAATTGTTTTTGTTTTTTTGCTATTAAAAATGTCACAAGGGCAAGTACCGGAATTCTTTTTGTCTAATTTATAAAGTAATATTACTGTGTAAAGCTATGATGTAAAAAAAATATAAATATATAATTAAAAATATATGATGAAAATACTTTCAATATTTTTCTAGTTGTACTATGAATGTTAAATGCACAGTATAATGATTTTGAAACTTAAAAATATGCAGCTGAAAAATTGTAAAGTTTTCTTTTTTGCAAGTGAAAATGCAAACAGGCCAGCATTTTAAAAAATCCTTATTGTTGAGCCCTCATTATGTAGCTGAAGACTCCTGCACTTGTTTTTGTAGGACGATTATGTGTGAAAGAGAATGTCTCTGTGTTTCTCAGGCTTGCCTGCAGAGGGAGCTGGAGCACAAGGAGAGTATTCTCAAAGAGTTAATGAGCCATGAGACAGAGGTAACACACCTATACATATTAGACTGTTTTCCCCACAGCTGTTTGTTTTCACACATTGCAGAGTATGTTTAGTGCTTCCATTTAATCATTAAAGTTTCAAGTAAAGACTTGTCTTATGTTTCAGCTTCCTGGCTCGCAAAACAACGGCTACTCACACCCACCGCCGGTCACAACATCAAAACCACACCATGGGGTAAATAAGACTAAAGCCTTTTCTCAATTATATTATATTATATCTATAGAGATCTATATAATTGTGTCTCTTGTAGGCCGAGGAGCTCCAGTTAGTAAGAGATGCTCTGCGGAGTCTGAGGAACAGCTTTGGAGGTCACGACCCTCAGCATCACACTCTGGACACTCTTGAGCAAGGTGTGGCCAGCCTGATGGATCGCCTCTGTGACCTGGAAACACGCCACAAACAGGAGAGGAGGGTACGAGGAATGTTCGCTCATTCTCACACAGCGGGTTTTGCACCCGATCTACATTGCCCCAGAATTCTTTCTTCTCAAATCAATCTGTTCCTTTGTAGAACCGAGGCAAATCTCCAGGACATAAAGCATCTCACTCAGATGGAGACTCCTGGCCTCCTACTTCAAGTAAGAATACATCCTAATCCCAAAACAGGAAATGACAGGACTAAGAGGAACAATGTGAATTTGACCGTTTAGTCACTGGCTTATAAACAGCAATAAACCATTTTTCATGAGTCCTTATATATCAAAAGTCAGTGATTACAGATTAGACATTAGAATTAATACAGTTACTTACATGTTGTGGCATTACTGTCGGGTCCATATCTTTCTGTAAAAGCCTGTGTTGAAGTGCGACGGGTTTACCAAAGAATCCACAGTGAAATGTACCGAACAAACATTTAAAAATAAACTGCCACATTAAAATTAGGATCCCTTGAAAGGTCATTTTATTTTTAGTCCAGTGATCCTGTTGTAGCAATTATTATATAACATGTGAGTGTGCGGGACTAAAGAAGCAATGATGCAGAAGTAGACGTTGATTTGACAGTGGAGGCAGTCTTGTGCTGATGAATTAATCTCTATTATGTAATAAAAACCGGGAAGTACAAAACGAGTTGCTTTTCCAGCTTGGCAATTAAAAGCTGTTTTTGTACTAACATGGACATTTGGAGTTCTGAAACTTTATATAGCACAATGACCTCTTATATGACAAAAAAATCAGGGGAAATTTGGGGGTTCTTGGGGGAAATCTTTGGCCATTTCAATTCATGACCCCTTATTTTGTACTTGGTTTCTCGGTAGGTATATTGCTGCATATTTAAAACACTACTAAAGTGAAGAATCTCCTCTGTTCGCTTACAGAAATTGCCCATTCTCACAGCAGCCCTGCGCTAAACTCCTCAGCGTGCACCAAAGTCCTGTACTTTACTGACCGCTCACTCACGCCATTCATGATCAACATCGCCAAGAGGTCAGTCAAACTCTTTGTTACACATATATTTGGCTTGAGTGGGTCTCTAGTCTTAAATCTCGATAATGCAGTATACTTTAGGTATGTGCTATGAAACTTTCCATTGTCTTATGTCGGCAGGCTGGGGGAGGTTACCTTGCGAGACTTCAAGGATGCCGTAGATCGAGAAGGCAATTATCGGTACCATTTTAAAGCACTGGATCCAGAGTTTGGCACTGTGAAGGAAGAGGTAATGCCACATAATCAATCAACAGAATATATTCTCTCTATATTCAAGCATCTAAATCAGGGGTTCTCAACCTCAGAAAGCTTTCAAGGGAGATTTACCACTGATTTATCACAGACACAATCACAGACATGATGACTTAAAAATTATCTAAAAAATATATTATTATTAATAATATAAGTAAAATTAATGCTATTAAAAATATATCAATAATTTTTATATAAATTATGTAAACTGAAATTGTTTATTTTTTTCCCTCAATGCATACTATATTATGAACAGAATTATAACAATATTCAAAGGAGATGTAAATGAATGAACCACAATTCATTTTGTGATTCCAGAAAGTTCAATATAAACACTATTGTTTTTTATTGAAGAACACGCACTTTGTGAAACTTTCTGGAATCACAAAATGAATTGTGGTTAATTAATGGGTCAGTAAGTGATTTCTGAGAAACACTGTTAATATTTGAAATCAACACCCAAACAAACACAGTCCTCCCTCAATTGCTTCGCCCCCAAAATAATGAACACTCTATGCAACACAGACAAAAAATTATGTGCAAGGATGGATGACTCAGATTCAACAACAGCATACAACAACATATCTTGGATCTATAAAATGGCAAAAAAAAAAAAAATGTTACTCACTTATCGAGCAGAAACAAAGCAACCTCGAAGTCTGTTTTCAGACCTTCCTGCTCTCTAACGTCTCGCCAGCGCTGGAAAGCTTTTCCAATATTAACATGGATTCTAAAGCTCTTGCCTGATTGTAACCCTTCTTTTTCCAATTACCGTATTGTTCTGAATAGAAGACGATGTTTTTTTTCTTAGAAATACAAACGGGTTCGTCTTATATTCAGGGTCTATACTTTTACATGTCAATAATACACCCGCAACAATAGGTGGCGCCAAATACGTGTACAACAAGTGTAAGAAATATGGCGTGTCAGAGTGTAATGTTAAAAGACCGCGAGCACAAAAAGACGCTAACAACGCTTAAAAACGAGTGAAAAAATTACTGTCTAAGAGCCATGTGACTGTCATGTTTGCGTGCCTCGCTGACAGGACCAAACTTCCCCTGTACGTGATTTTAAAACATAAGACGATACCTAGATTTCAAAAGTAGACAAACAAGATTTCACTTCTACTGTTAATGAAATTTTGGTAGGCTACATGGTTTTCACTATGAGATGATAGCCTAATTGTAATATAATTCAGATGGGCTACAGGTTATTTTTATGGTATTCCCAAAAAAAATTATTAATGTGATCTTTGGTACATTTTACCAGTATTTCCCATACTTTCAATACAAAAATTTAAATATGAAAAATATGCAGTATGAAAATTATTTTCAAATAAAAGCATTTTCTTTATCAAAAGCCTTTTTTCAAAAGGTACATCTTGAAAAAGGGGGGATCGTCTTATATTCGGAGCAATATGGTATATTCCTCTGACCTTTTCCTCTTTGGTAATATATCTCAGCCATCTCTCTTTCTATAGTCTTTTTCGACAAATGTCCCCCTTACTCGCTCTCTCTCTCCTCCCCCATCATGAGTTTATACACCGCCTACTGCTGATTGGCTACAAGTGTGTTTTGGTGCTCCTTGGATCGATTCAATCAACTCCTATTTACACAGCCAGGGGGACTATGTACAAACACCTTTTTTTCAGCACAGAACAAACATCTAACAAATATTCACAAAATTGTTTGTTTAGGTGTTTTTAACGCTGTTGAAAGCGTTTCTGCATTTCTCAGAAATCGCTTACTGCACCTTTAAATTATCTATATCTATATTTCCCGTTTCTGTTAAAAATATATTAATATGTTTTGACTGCACAGTCAAAAAGGCTGAGAACCACTGATTTAAATGAAATAAGTCAATTAAAAAAATGTAACTAAAATGTTACATATATTGTGTAAACAGAAAGTAATGGAGATTACTGGCTTCTCTCAGGTTTTCCAGGATGATGCAGTGGTGCCTGGCTGGGAAGGGAAGATCGTGGCCTGGGTAGAGGAGGATCATGGGCAAATAGGGTACTGCGTGCACCTACGCAGCTGGCATCCACATCTGTTTCTCACCATTTTAAGCTCATTCTCTCTTTCTTTCCTCCACAGGACCTAATATGAGTCTGCAAGAATCTGTCAAAGGAAATAAAGACATCTGTGCCAAAAATGAAATAACATTGATTTGTAACTTAAGTGTACAGAGAATGGAATTCTCTTCAGTGCCCTAAGAAAGTCCCACCCACTTTTTACTCAATCCTGCATGAGCTGAACAGCAGAATGAACCTGAAAGGACATGGAGGAACATCTGAAGGATCACCAGATGGAGAAAGTCCCATCTTACCGGTAGTAATACACACGCATATAACTTTACAGAGGATGGGAGAAAAGCATTTCTGATCTGTTTTAAAGGTCTTGCCATAGAACAGACACCCATCCCAGCAAATGCTTTATGAGCAGACAAACTCTTCACTTGTGACGCAAGGAGCCTTTTGTTTGTTACTGTAATGACACACTGGATTTCTCAATTTACCTACTTTAAAGTAGGTTCTGCCAGAGTACTTTTTTGTTTATTTCGTTTAACCAAAATTGAAATAATTTTGCTGTGGAAAGAGACAAGTAGGGAATCTTTAGTAAGTAGGGGTCAAGAGTACTTGAGTGAATGTGCTGTGAGTCTTAAGAAAGAATAGCAGTAAAATGATGTGAGTATAGAGTGGAAAAGAGTTTAAAGCCTGTAGTTGCCTCGCTATGAGATTTGTTTTTGTTTTTTTATCTTAGAGAAAGAGTTTCCCTAAAACATACGTTAGACACATTCCAAGGACCAAAGCATTTTGCTTGTTTGATATATGATCTTACGATATCATTCAGTATGTCATTTTAAAGAGCCCTATGTTAGTAACATTCACACAGGCGATGAAGGCTTTTTTGTATGAATGTCTTTTGAGAGTATGAGCTGAAGATTTGACTGTATGGCATAAATGTGAGATTACTATTCATGATTTTGACACAATATATAAATGTAGTACATATAATTTGCAAGAAAGCGCTTTCTGATTATTGCAGGCTTTCAAATGTAATTTTTAGAAACTACGAGATGTGCTGTTCAACTGCACTGATTTGAGTTTACAGGAAAGTGCCTGAAATCTGCTACAAGAGAGAGGTGACCGGGTTTGCCTTTTGTATTTTTGTTCTGTTTTATATTTATGTAAATATGTTTATATCTGAGAGACAGAGCGAGGCATAGTGCCTTTACACTGTATAAATGATGTCGTATAAATACTGAATACTATTTTAAAGATATGAAAATGTCTCCTTTGTTTCAAAAAAAGGATATTATTACTCTCATCAGAGAAGCCTGTTGCTAATGAGAACCGCGTTGTTCACTCACAATGGATGGTTATGCTTTACTGAAATTCTGCTTTCACCCTCCCGATTACTGCTGTTTGCATTTCTGGTTGAAGAAGATTGTTATTTGGTTTGCAAATAAACAGTTTGAAGCAGTATACACGATGTATGTGTTTTTATTAAATAAACGTTATTGTTAAAAGTATTATCATTACAATTAATCTTTTTGTATCCCCCTAGTTCTAGTTAAAGAATATTACATTCAATAATATATCTTTATCATATGTATAGTACAGTATGTTATATTTTTTGTTGATATTTGGAACAGCACTCACACAAAACTTATAGTAGCAAATACAACATGATCTTTTTTTACATTTTAATGAAAAAAATATCCACAAAGCAACTGTTTCTGAGATAGGCTATAGTGGACCATTAGACCAAGATACCCATGATGTAAATAATAACTTACATTCTTCCATACCATGATCTCTTCGCGTAGACTATAAGTAGATTTATAAAATGTATAAAAGGTTCAAATAGAATGGAATGTGTAAAATATTAATTATTTGAATAGCGCTTACTTGCCAATAGCATCATTTTAGGTCATTAAGTGTCTCACCGCCCCGGGTCGTTAGATGGCGCTGATTCACTTAACCAGCAACGCTCACTGCGAGCAAAACATCTCACGAAGTAAACATTCACGTGTTGTTACGTTGGTCACACACGACCTAGTCTACGAAATATAGTGAAAATGCGGGAGAAAAATAACAAAGAGAAGAAAAAGGTAACCGATGACCCTGTAAAGAATTTTGAGAAATGGAAAAAGAAATACGATAAAACGAAAACCAGAGTCAAACGAGCTCAACAGACCACTAGGAAGAAACGCGACTGGGAGGTGGAGAGAGAAAATATACAGAGACTGGTGAATAAATACTCGGAGGTAAGATATTTGAATCTGCTGAAATTATGAAGCATTTCTGGCGTCTATTGCTTGTTTCTAGGGGCTGCCACGTGTTTATTTACCTGTTGTGACATCTGGCTTGACAGATAGATCAGTTACCGTGTAAACCGTTGACATTTAAGAAGAATGTTAACAAGCACAAATCTTACTAGTCCTTAGGATATTGTGGGACATGCTTCAAGTGTTGCTGATAGTTGTATCTGGTCAGGAAGCCTTTCAGCTCAGGTCTTCACATAAACATATTTTTTCAGTGGTCACTGGTTCTTGAGGCCTGGGACAAAACACATATATGTGTACGTACATAACTGATAGAAATCTTAACGTATCAAGGATTTGGATTGATTTGATTAAGCATGTTAAGTGTTCAGGCGTGTTTCAGTGGTCTGCATCTTGCATTTTAAATGCTACATCTGATACATCACTTTGATATTTTCTGAGGTCCTAATACACCCAATCCATTTTAAAACATGCCACTTGATTTACTTGTGAAGGTTTTGACATGAGTAACTGTTTTCCTAGATCAATTCCAAAGAGGCTGTTAAGTTCTCTGATTTTCCACTCTCAAAAAAGACTCTGAAAGGTGAGCAATCTTGTTTATTTGCATGCTTATACGTTCACTTATGTCTTCTTGACCTTAATAATGATCTTGATCATGTCATTAGGTCTTCTTGTGGCTCAGTACAGGCAGCCCACAGAGATTCAGAGGCAGACTATTGGATTTGCTTTGCGAGGTAAAGATGTCCTTGGTGCTGCAAAGACGGGCTCTGGAAAGACTTTGGCCTTCCTCATCCCGGTAAGCAATACACCTCTGAGGTTTGTTGTAGTTTTAACTTGGTAAGTAACATTATTCGGTAGCTCTTTATTTTAGAGTCATGTTCCCCATGTACATACTATGTACTTATTACAGTAATTGCAATAATTGATTAATAACTAGGTACTAACCCTGAACCTGTGCATAAACCTAACCTTAACCCATGTAGTTACCTTATGTTACCCAGTATTTTCTTCGTTAAGTAGTAGTACCTATTTTTTTACAGTCTGAGTAGTACACTTACTGTTAAATAGCGCAACCCAGTATTCTTTCAAGAAGTTAGATAGGTGTGTTAATATGGACACAATTGTAAAAAATTAAAAAAAAAAAATATATATATATAAAAGGTAATTTGTTTATATTAATATTGTTTTAGATTTATATAATTTTTTTGGAAATATGTACACTACCGGTCAATAGCTTGGAATAATTAAGTTTTTATTTTTAAATGTTTTTAAAATAATTCTCTTGTGCTTTTATTTGAACAAAAATACAGAAAAATACTGTGAAATATTATTACAGTTTAAAAGACCTGTTTTCTATTTTAATACTTTTTCAAATTCATTTATTCCTGTGATGGCACAGCTGAATTTTCAGCATCATTACTCTAGTCTTCAGTGTCACATGATCCTTCAGAAATCATTCTTATATGCTGATTTGATGCTCAATTATTATCAATTATTTTTCGTAATTATGGTTCTTAATATTGTCTATTTTGAACAGTTTTGCTGCTTAATATTTTTGTGGAAACTGATGTCTTTGTATAGAAAGAATACATTGAATAGAACGTTCAAAAGAAAAGTATTTATTTATAATAAATTTCACTTTTGGTCAATTTAATGTGTCCTTACTGAATAAAACTTCTTTTTTTAAACGTACCCCAATCTTTTGAATGGTAGTGTATCCTGGTTTCCACAAAAATATTAAGCAGCACAGCTGTTTTTAACATTGATAAAAATAAGAAATGTTTCTTGAGCAGCAAATCTGCATATAAGAATGATTTTTGAAGGATCATGTGAAACTAAAGACTGGAGTAATGATGCTGAAAATTCAAGTTTGTACCACAGGAAGAAATTACATTTTAAAATATATTGCAGTTGTAATCATTTTTGGCAGAATTAGTGTTTTTACTGTATTTTTCATCCAATAATGCGGCCTTGGTTGGGTATAAGAGAGTTCTTTCATTCTGCAGTGTTACTCAGAATTCAAACCTAATTTGGAAGCCTCTCTAATACTGTCTCCAGGTTTTGGAGTGCTTGTATCGTGAACAGTGGACTGCGGATGACGGCCTCGGCGCTCTCATCATCTCTCCCACCCGAGAGCTGGCCTATCAGACCTTTGAGGTGTTGAGGAAGATCGGCAAGAACCATGAATTTTCTGCCGGCCTTATAATTGGTGGAAAGGTGTGCCTCGCTAGTTTTTAGTGTTTGGCGTGGTTCTTGCATGTTTGTATCTAGGTTTTTTTTATTGTGTAATAATTGATTATTATTTGTCAATGACTGCAGGATCTGAAAGGTGAATCAGAGAAGATCCATCGCACAAATATCATTATCTGCACCCCAGGACGTCTGCTGCAGCACATGGACGAGACGTCCACCTTTCATGCTTCAAATCTACACATGCTTGGTAAGATGATGTTTAGATAGTGAATACACTTCTGTTCAAATGTTTGGGGTTGATGATATTTTTTTAATGTTTTTGAAAGACTTATGCTCAAGCAACTGCATTTATTTAAAAAATGCTCACATGATTGTGCTTCAGAAATCATTCTATGCTGATTTTGTGCTCAAGAAACATTTCATATTAATGTTGAAAACAGTTGTGCTGCTTAATATTTTTGTGGAAACTGCATTTTTCCATGATCTTTGACTAATACAGAGTTCAAAAGAACAGCATTATTTGAAATAGAAATCTTATGTAAAAGTCTTTGCTGTCACTTTCGATCAATTCCGTGCATCCTGACCCCAAACGTTTCAACTGTGGTGTATATGTGTGCAGG